TTTTTGCCAGGCTAACTAGGAAAGAAAAGAGAAGACACATGAATAATATTAGGAAAGAAAGAGACGATGTCACTACAGATACCATGGATATTAAAAGTATAATAAAGAAAAAAGTATAATAAAGGAATAGTATGAACAACTCTATGCCCTCAGATTTATTGTAACCTAAATGAAATGGACCAATATCTTGAAAGATACAGTCTGCCAAGTTCCACAAGAAGAAATAGAGAACCTGAATGGGCCTATATCTATTAAAGAAATTGAATCGATAATTAATAACCTTCCAAAACAGAAAGCAAGTTCCAAAGGGTTCACTGGTGAATTCTACTAAACCTTTAAGAGAGAAATTATACCAATTTTCTATTATCTCTTTCAGAGGATAGAAACAAAAAGAATACTTTCTAACTCATTCTCTGAGGCCAGCACTACCCTAATACCCAAAACAAAGCCATTGTAAGTATAGACCTATATCTCTCATGAACATATTTGCAAAAAGCAACGAAATATCAGCGTCAAATCTAACAATGTATAAAAAGAATTATACACCACGACTAAGTGAGATTTATCCCAGGTATGCAAATCTGGTTCAACATTCAAAAATCAATTCATGTAATTCATCACATCAACACGCTAAAAAAGAAAAATCACATGATCGTATCAATAGATGCAGGATAAAAAAGTCTGACAAAATCTAATACCCATTCATGATAAAAAAATAAATAAATAAACGCTTTAGTTTCAGTAAACTAGGAATAGAAGGTAATTTCCTCAATTTGATAAAGAATATCTACAAAAAACCTACAGCTAACATCATAGTTCATGGTGAGAAATTCGAAGCTTCCCCAGTAAGATCAGGTACAAGGTAAGGATGTCCCCTCTCGCCATTGTTTTTCAACGTCATTTTGAGAGTCCTAGCTAGATGATAAGACAAGAAAAAAAGGTAAAAAGGTCTACAGATTGAGAAAGAAAAAATAAAACCGGCATTGTCTGCAGATGACGTGACCGTCTATGTAGAAAATTCAAAAGGATCAACAAAAAACTCCTGGAACTAAAAAGCGATTATAGCAAGGTTGCAGAATACGAGGTTAATCTACAAAAGTCCATTGCTTTCCGATATACTAGCGATGAATGCGAGGAATTTGAAATTCAAAACACGATGCTATTTACATTAGCACCAAAAAAAAAAGTGCTTAGGTATAAAACTAATAAAATATGTACAAAATGTATATGAAGGAAACTATAAAACCCTGATAATCAAAATCAAAGACCTAAATAAATGGGGAGATAGTCCATGTTTATGGATAGGAAAACTGAATATTCTTTCCAACTTGATTGATAGATTTGAAGCTTGCAATCCCAGTCCAAATCCCAGTAATTTATTTTGTGGATATTGACAGACTGATTCTAACATGTATAAGGGGAGAGAGAGAGAGAGAGAGAGAGAGAGCACGCGCGCGAGCGTGAGCAACAATATGGCCAGCTCAATACTGAGGAAGGATAAGTTGGAGGGATGACACTTCCTGACCTCAGGACTTATTATAAAGCTACAGTAGTCACGATAGCATGTTATTGACAGAAGAACAGACGAATAGAACAGTGGAGCAGAATAGACAGCTCAGAGGTATACCCACACGAACACAGTCAACTGAACTTCAACCAAAGATCAAAGGGAATACGATGGAGAAAAGAGAGTGTGTTTAACAAATGGTACAGGAACAATGAACATCTATATGCAAAAAAAAAAAAAAAAAAGAATCTAGACACAGACCTTACATCTTTCACAAAAATTAACTCAAAATGGATCTCAGACCTAAATGTAAAACACAAAACTATAAAAGTCCTAGAAGATAAACGTAAGAAAAAACTCAGATGACCTTGAGTTTGGCGATGACTTTTAAGATACAACACCAAAGCCATGTTCCATGAAAGAAATAATTGATAAGCCAGATTTCAATAAAATTATAAATTTCTCTTCTGTAATAGAGAGTGTCAAGAGAATGAGAAGATGAGCCACAGACTGGGAAAAAATATTTGCAAAATACACGTCTGATAAAAGACTGTTATCCAAAATATGTATACAAGGAACTCTTAAAACTCAACAACAAGAAAGCAAATAACCCAGTTAAAAGTTAGACCAAAGTGGCCTTAATGGACACCTCACTAAAGAAAATATAGAGATGGCAAATTAGCATATGAAAAGATACTCCACATCATATGTCCTCAGGGGAATGTAAATTAAAACAATGAGACACCAGTGCACATCTGTTAGAATGGCCAAAGCCTGGGACACTGACAATACCAAGCGATGCGGAGGATGTGGAGCCACAGGAACTCACATTCCCAGCTGGTGGGAATGCCAGGTGGTACGGCCACTTTGGAAGACAGTCTGGTGGCTTCTTACAAAACTAAACATACTCTTACACACAATTCAGCAATCACACTCCTTATTATTTACCCAAAGGAGTTAAAAACACGTCCACACAAAAACCTGCACACAGATGCTTACAGCAACTTTACCAATAACTGCCAAAATATGGAAGCAACCAAGACTTCCTTCAGTAGATGAACTGATAAGTAATCTGAGATACATCCAGACAAATGAATATATTCAGCATTAAAGAGAAATAAGCTAACAAGCCACACACACAAACACACACACCCCCCCCCACACACACCCACACACACAAACATGGAAGAGACTTAAATGCATATTATTAAGTGTAAGAAGCCAGTCTGAAAAGACTACATGTTGTACGATTCCAAATATATGACATTCTGAAAAAGGCAAAAAAGGCAAAAGAAAATAAAAGGTTGCTAGGGGTTGGGGGCGCGGACAAATGCGTACTGGAGCACAGATCATTTTTAGGGCAGAGAAACTACTGCGTATGATACTGTAAAGGCGGATACGTAATTTATAAATTTGTCCAAATCTAGAGAATATACAACACCAAGAGAATTGTAACGTAAACTATGGACTTTGGGTGATAAAGATGTGTCCACAGAGAATCGTCAATTTTAATAAATTACCAGTTTGGTAGGTAATATTGATATTGGGGGAGTCTATGCATGAGTGAAGACAGGAGGTATATGGGAAATATCTGTACCCAGAAAATAATTCTATTTAAAAACGAAAGAGAGTGATTAAAAAGAAAGAAAGAAAAAAAAAAAGACCGTGAAAAGTCCTGTAAACACTGAAGGAGACTGGGCATCCTAAGAGCATTAGGAAATAGCTGTCTGTATTAGTTTCCTATGACTTCTGTAACAAATTATCATAAACTGGGGACTTAAAACAAGATACATTTATCCCCTCACAATTCTGGAGGCCCAACGTCCAAAATCAAGGTGTCAGCAGTCCCGTGCTTCCTCGGAAGGCTCTAGGAGAATACTTTGTCTTCCCTTTTCCTTTTTTCTTTTCACCGGGCTTCTCCTCGGCCGTGTCTGCCGAAGAATCACTTCGATCCCGCCTCTGTCTTCACGTGGCCTTCTCTGTGTCTCTTATAAGGACGGTTGTTATTGGATTTAGGGCCCACCCAGGCACTACAGGATGCTCTCATTTTGAGACCTTTAGTCTAGTTATATCCGCAAAGACCCTTTTCCAAAACAAGGTCACAGTCACAGATGGTGGCCATCAGGGCATGGACATTTCTTTCGGGTGACCACCATTCAACCTCGTGTGATGTTAAGCTACTTAACGTACATCTGTTGGGTGGCTCCATTACTTTAGGCTCTGTAGGTGACACTTGAAACCTATTCTGGATGAACCGAAGGGAGTTACTGGAATATTACTGGAAAGGTGACGGAATTGAAGGGAAAGTGAACGAGCTGGCTTTAAAAATGTCCAGGGCAGTTCCAAGGATCTCGGCAGTGAGAATTCATGAACTATGGCTTTAGGTCAGGGGTTGGCAAATGTTTTCTGTAAATGACCAGACTGTAAATATTTTCAGCTTTGCGGGGCATACAGTCTCTGTCGCAACTACTCAACTCTGCTGCCGTGTGTGAAAGCGACCACAGACAAGACGCGAATGAACGAGCATTGCCGTTTTCCAATATTTACTCCGTCTTTACTTACGAAAATTTCCAATTTTATTTGCAAAAACAAAAGCGGGTCTAATTAGTCTACTGTGGGTCATATGCTCACAGTACAGTGGTAGATGCACCCACCAAGACCAAATGAAACGGTGAAGTTTTTGTCCACAGGAAAATCAAGATTTTCTTAACCAAAAAGAGAGGGAAAGATACTGCCCAGCATCTGGTATCTGGGCCAGTGAATGAGAGTAGTGTCGTTCCAGGTGTGGAGGACCCCACGTGAACAGGAACCACAGCTGGAGATCTCATGAAGCTCACAGTCACACTGAGACAGACTCCAATCAAAGCGGCACGCCACGGATGTATGGTGGCAAACCGAGTCACACGTCCCAAAGGAGAGGAACGGTGGTTGACAACAGGGTTAGCAACCTTGGCACTGATGAGAAGTGGGGGTGGATAGTTCTTTGTTATGGGGGCTGTCCTGTGCATCCCAGGCTGTCCTGTAGCTCCCCTGGACTCCAGGTGCAAGCCTGAAGTCTCAGCTTAAATGTCATTTTCCCGGAAAGGTACTCCTTGACCTCTAGCCCCTCCCCTCCTCTCTTTCCCCGTTATCAGAGATGGCGTTTTTCTTTTTCTTTCTCTTTCTTTTTTTTCTATTAGCACTAGACAGACATGTCTATGGTTTTCAGCTACATCTCCACACATAACATTGAGAAGGCACTCAGTAAATATTTCTTGAATATGGATTAAGTGAAACTAACTCCTTATTTCCATGGAAATTTTCCACCAGAATTTTTCTTCAACAGGAAAATATCTTAAATGACTCTAGAGTATGTATTTTAAGTAACACAAGCTCATTTGGACATGTTAGATAAGGCATTTCAAAAACAAGTCAACAGTATCTCAGGAGACAAGACCTGTAGATTCAATTATTCTAAATCATTGTGACTTATAGACCAAATGTAATGCTTTCATTAGCGGTTGTTTGTTAATCCATTTAATGAGTAACCTTTTGGTTGAGGGAGAGGTGAGTTAAATAAGCTCAGCTTCTATACAAGCGATTAGTTCTACATATATTAATCTGCCTGCTTTCAATTTAGACACTATTTAAAAAAAACAAATCCAAGCAGAGGGGGAGTAGGAGTTTAACAGCCACCCATTCTTCCAAACGTTTCAGAACGCACATGAAAATGAACCCTGAAACAAGAAGTCAGCAGGGGCACTCATTAACTTAATACATTTTAATTTTATGAATAGAAGCCAGAAGTCGATTCTTTGAATCCAGAGCTGAACACTTACACCTCCAGCCGCCCGCAAGGCATCTCTGCATGGGTGTTTGAAGGGCGCCGCCAATGCATGCAGCACGTCCTGGTCGGAGCTCAGCAAACTCATCATGGTCCCCTGCACAGACCTGCCCTCCGCCTAGGTTCCCGGGCTCTGCCGTGCACTCTCTCTGGCACATCGGCTGCAAGTCTCAGCAGCATCTTCTGGGACTGCTCCTTGGTACCCCCAAGGCTGCCATGTTCTCAGACTGAACCTCCAGCTCACAGCAGCCCCCCTGGCCCCTTCTCAGCTCCCCTTTAACTCTCACTGAGTCCTTTTCACTTGCATGCCCACCTCCAAGCTTCCCTCCGTAAGGCCTCCTGCCTCGGCTAAGGGACACGGCTTCGAAACACCCAGATATGATCCTGTCATTCCCTCAAAGTACGCAAACCAGAGAAACCTCCAAACGTTTCGTCCTCGTCAGAATGACTGATACTGAGCACCGACTGTGTGCAAGCTCCGTGCTCTCCATACATTATTGTACTGAATCCTTCTCAATTGCCCTCAGTTAAAAACCTGACGTAAAGGCCAGCACGTAAGGGCATTCATTCCACAAACAGCAGTCAAGTAAAGGGAAGGAGGAATGGATGAAAGCCCAGCGCCTGCCTGGCGGGCCTTTCGTATGTCGTCGCTATTATCAATATCTCGAGTTCTTGTCTCTAATGCTCTTTCTTTACCGAAGTGGGCATTACCTCAGGGCATCTATATCAGATGGTGTTAACGTCTCTGCCCAGAACAGTTTGTGAGGATCTTCGCGCTCACTTTTGGACCTCCTGCCTCTTGCTGCGGAGCGTGCTGTGTGGGCTCTGAAAGCAACATCTCGGTTGCCCTCGGCAGCTGCCCACGAGGGATGCATTACGACATTTGTGGGCCTCGGGCACTTTTGCCTCCGCGGGCTCTTCTATAAAGAAATATGAAAAGTTATATTAAATTACACTTAGTTCTTTATACTAGTTACATATATGTAACCCAGGCCGGATTCATTGTTATAATAGTCGTCGTTCTTCCGATTTTAAAAGAAATTAAAACATTGTCATGGGCCCCAAATTCTGAGCCTGATAAGTCAGCCCTGCTATGTGCCCAGCTGTCACATAAGGAAACCGATGCTCTCAGCACAGACCGTTGCCGAGAAGAAGGGGTGGAGCTGGGACCCGAACCCAGACAACCGTGAGTCTAGTTCAAAACTTCTAAGCAGAGCTAAAACTCCAAGGACCCAACCAGGCTGTGCTCCTGGGTCAATTCAGGACGCTCTCTCAGCCCGCATCGAGCCCAGCTCTGCACAGCCCTAGGCACTGGGATCTACGCCCTGGGGAAGCCCCGCCCCCTCGTCCAGGCCCCGCCTCCCGCCTGGCTCCCGCCAGGCCCGGACGCCTGAGGCAACCAGCAAGTGGCAGCCTTCCTGCCCCGCCCC